CTCTAATGTTAGGTCGAATTTTTATACGGTATAATGAGCTAAAATATCAAGGATTACTTCTGTCAGGAAATAGAGTTTAAAATGTTTTTTCTCAGCTAACTTAAAATTGTCCCATTTTTCTTCCAGCTACAGCTGCAGTATGACAAAGAAATGTCTAAATTTAATGCTGTAAAACATACACAGGATAAATGTTTCTTTGCACAGCACTTCTGAGTCTGTCATTAGAATACTTCTAAATCACTGATCTAGAAACTCCACTTTAAAGCTCATCATTTAGCCACAAACATCATGCAAAAAATTTTATATAGCATATTCATTGCTTGTCCATAAATTATAGTAATAAAACTCTTGCACAAGCAAGAGGTGAGTATAGTTGCTGTGGAGGCTGCTGGTGTGGTTTGGTGCAATGGCTTTCTTGTACTGTGCTTTCTAAAGGTGCTTGTCAAAGCTTTTCTTTACAGCTGGATCAGAAAGATTTAATAGGTATGGAAATTTTCCATTAGCTCTATAAGACTATACATTTTTAAGAGACTTTGCAGAAATTTGAAGCTTTTGAAATTTTACTTTGTCAAATTTTTGGATGGACTGGCACAGAACTGAAAATTCTGATTAAAAAGTGAAAAAAATATTTTCATGTCATCCATACTACTATTAAGATATATAGGGGGGTTGAAAATGAAGATGGAAAGAGATCTGAAGCTAAAGCAGCTGAAAGCAGGAATATGCTTTTTTGTCCGTAAGATTATCTAGTGAAGACATTCCTGCAAGTGCCTGTGGGACAGCAGACGCAGAGCCTTTAATAAAGTGTGCCCGGCAGTATTGCTGGGAGCACGATGACCTGTGTATCTCTGGAAGCTTTGCGTTTCTTTTGCTCCTGCTTTTTCTACAGATTCAGAGCCCAGCTGTAACTGTGAGTAATTCCATCAGAAAAAAGTTCCAAAACGTTGACTAGTTCAATATTGTGGCAATATTCTTTGTCACTTTTCTCTTTAGGCAAAGAAAGCTGTTCAAAAAACATGTAGATGTGGCACTTCGGGATATGGTTTAGCCGGCATGGTGGTGCTGGGTTGATGGTTGGACTTGATGATCTTAGAGGTCTTTTCCAACCTAATATTCTATGATTCTATGATAAGAAAGCTTGTCACCCAGCCAGGGCCAGAGCATGTGACTCATTTCAGGCAGTAGTTTAAATCGCGCTGAAGGATGTAGTGGCTGACTGCGGGATTTCAAAGATTTGCTGATGCTTTTCTGAAATGGGACCCTCTACACTAAGAACGTTTAGGCCTTTATTTTGAGGTGAAGGGAATGATATTAAATACGCTTACAACTGTAAGCATAGACATCTATGTATATTATGCTATATAGTTAGATATGTGTGTATAATTTTATATATACATATAATTGTAATGTAAGTTGATCTAGAAATATACCAGAGGGTGCTGTAGCTATTGTTTTCTTTTCATTAATTTCAGAGCGTCAAATCGTTCTTTCTGTTACCACCTGTTAGCTCAGCTGGCTACAAGGCAGTTACAGCATGGACTGGAAAAGACTGTCATTCCTCTATCTTATTAATATCTCTTAATTTAGTGATTTTTCGTCTCTTGGTATATCCCATTGCTCTTTAGCCAGTTCTTTTTATGCAAAGCATCTGCTGGCCGTTGGTTTCTTTGAAGCAGACATCCACATCGCCAGCTTCATACATATTCATATCAGACTACTGCTTGTTCTAGGTAAGAGGTGCAATATGCAAGTGGTCTTCAGCTTTCTTCACCACAATACAATAATAGCAAAAATCTGGTTGGGAACTTGTTTGGAGGATTGTTTTCTCTGCCAGGACATGCTGCTTTGATGCTGTGCCTTTACCTGGAACAGCACTACAAGGAATCTCTTTTCTTGAGTTAATCTCTTTATATATTTACATCACTCTGACTCCTCCACATTGAAATTGATTCCTTACTAAGAATACTTAACATTTTTGAGCAGAAAGTGATTGTAAATATGCTGGTTTCTTCATAAAAAACAGAGCATCTTCCTTTGCTCTTTAGTTTGAGTTAGAACAGAAAAGTTAGCTGAGCTGAATCTCAGGTATGGATTGCAACTTGTCAATCATGTACTGAATCTGTTTTTATTTTAGCCTAACAGAAATGTTATTTATGAGATGTTTAAATAATGGGAGCCTGTTAGTACGGTGCAGTTTTCCAGCCTAGAAATTGAAAGCAACTGAATTTATTCCATCTGAACAAGAGTTTTTGTATTGTCAAAGTTTAAGGATAGTATGCTTACCATTCCTGTCTTTTTGGCTGGTGAACATATGTTTTTGCCTGTTTATACGCACTAGTGTTATCTGAAGCTTTTTGGATTATTTCAAGAACCTTTCACTCAGTAAAATAAAAAAAGACAGGTATCACACCCAGAATTTATTATTCATATTCTAATTTACAGACAACAACCCTTGGTTTTCTGAAGTTATTCAAAGAGATTGGGTTTTTTCCTTCTAAATCACATGTGTATTTCTTGGTATTTAGCAAGGTAGTTCCATGATTTTGTCTATTCTGAGGTTTTCTGCAGTCTTTGGGATGGGATCTCCTCCCCTTCCCTCTTCTCTTTTGTGTTCCTCTTTTCTCCCAAATTGGAGTTATATTAGTGTACTTCTTGGACTCACACTATTTAATTTCCTTGCACCTGGGATTCACCCAAATGACTCTCCAGTTTATCTTGGAGCACAAATACTGAACAGAGCAAGAAAGATTTCAAGGCAGTCTTTTCTTTGATCTTTCTTGTCCTTGTAATACCAAAGCTAGTGAAACTTGTCATATTAGTGATGGTATCAACATTTTTCTTGCTAATAATCTCACTCAGAAGTTTCCTGAGTAACATTTTAGTTCTTCTGAGAAGGTTTGAAGCAGATTAAGAAATTTAGCATAATTACTACTAAAAATCATTACATATTAATATGCCTGAACTATAACACTAGTGCACGTACTAAGATCTTCATGTTTCATTTTTATTAAGATAAAATATTAACAGTATAAAATCTAATATAAAACCAATCTACACCTATATCATTCTTTTCAGCTGTATCACTCTAAACAAAGTGGTATTTTTTGTGCTGTATCTCAGTCAACAAAATATGCAATCTGCAGTGCCTTGTGATCCACCACTGTTGATGCCATTCACTCTTCCAACTCTTTAAGTCCATGCTTGCTGAGCTCTAAATACCAAGCTTCCCAAGCTGAGGAGGCTGTTGCTTCACCTCGTCCTCTCATTGTGTGCTATGTGGAGATAAAACGGAGCTTTACAGAAGTCTACTGCGAAGTGTAACAGAAGAGCAGACTGGTTCACTCTATGTCTCAGCTGCAAATTAGGATCACAACCCAACAGTTTAGTAGTAGTACTATTGTTATAAAGTCCCAGCACTTGGTAAATGAGAAGTAGGAGAATAAAAATGCATACTTTCTTAAACTAATATTCCTAGATTTTATTCTTCAAGTTTTGACACCAATTATTGGTGTAGTTGGTGTAATATTGTAACATTTTTAGAAAGGGAAAAATACCTTTCATGGTTTATCCTCTATTCTGAAAGACTGTTTTTCCCCCCGAGTTGTTTTTTTTTACACGTTAGAATTAGGAATTGGGTAATATTTTTATCATTATTTTTGTTTTCTGTACCAATAATAAATTTATAAACACAATTTGAAGCTAAAGGTAAAGCTCTGTATGGATGACCTCAAGTCTTGTTATGTTTGTAAGACATCGGAAAACACTGGAATCGCATGGGACTTGGCACTTGTTTTATCTCTGGTAGCTGTTTTGGCATCTTTTTGCACATATACATTTATTTTTCTTATGTAGTATACTAGATTTCTTTGTGAGTATGATTTATATAAGCTTACCTGTGCATGATTAAAGCACAAGCAACTCCAAATGTCCCATGGAAGTTAATCCTATGTATGATTTGCAATATAAGAACGGTAGAAGTTTAAGTATAGATTTTGACTATAATGTAGAAGTGGAATGTTCTTAATGTTTATCAGTTTAATCAAGCAAGTGAGCACGCTTGGTCAAATTAAAATATCTGATAATTTATTCACATAGAAACCAGTAACTTTTAGTATTCGTAGCACAAAACTTTTTGTTAAAAAAGGAAAACAAGCTATGCCGTATAGCTTCTTTACTCTCAATAAAATAGCATAATTGCAGTTCAACTGAAGATTACAATAAAAATGAAACATTCCAGATTATATTGGTTGGAGCACAATGTGATGAATAAAATGAGAAAATCCTTGTCAGAAATTTTACCACAAGGAAATATCAATAGCTAACACCCATATTCTCCAACTAGAAATCAAGAATATTTGAGAAGGTCTTAGCAGAAAAGGCACAAAACACAAAGCAAAGCACGCTTGTGTCATTTGTCACAAAGAAGCATTGACATTTGTGCAGCATGGAAAAAGATCAGCATTTTTCCAGACTCTTCCAATATCACGTATACTCTGGGAACAGATCTTCCCCTTAATGCCAGTGTGTCACTCCCAGTACAGATGGAAGTGACTACAAGAAAAGAGCAGTATATAGAAGTGAATACATCCATACCCTTCCAAGAAATCTTAGCTCATATATTGAGGAAGCTGCTGCTATAGTACTGTTAGTAGTAAATAAATACACTGCAGCCTTTTAATAATACAACTGCTGGCAGCTAGCACTTGTGGGAATTACGTAAGACTGGTAAGAATGTTAACAATGCTGGAAACCCCTCATAAACACAGGTTTGCCACTTGCATTTAAATGTGTGATGCCAGCTCCTGCTTTGCTTCAAATAAGCTTTTTTAAAAAAGTTTGAGTCCTTGAAATAAAGGACTATCTTCAGAAAACAATGCTGCCTATTGCACAGAGGAATGGCTTTTCTGATTTTAAGGTGCTTCAGAAATACAGATCAAACAGCCGTCGTATTTCCTTCCGTAACAGGCCATCATACAATCATCTTGTTAGCAGCCTATTTCCTATATTTCTATAACAAGCCTATCTTCATCATCACTGCTAGTGTCGTCATACTCAACTCTGGTTTGCTTCCTCATCATCTCTAAACCTCTCTTTTTGTACGTCTTGCAAGGTGTTGCAGAGTATGTGTTGAACTCGGGGGACCTGGGAGTGTCTGGGGGCTTTTTAATGGTAGTAGCAGCTGTTTCGCGTCGCCTTCCATAGCTACTTGACTGCAGGTGGGTTCCATTCCTGTCTGCGCTTCCATGATGGTCAAGGATTTTTTGAGAAAAGTTTGCCTGCTCTGTGGATTCTCTGCTGGGTACCTTAGCCCTTGTGGCTGGCTCAGGAAGAGACTCTGCTTTTGATCCGAATAAACGTGAACATTCAGGCTGGGAACTGGGAGCTGAGTTTTCTGTTGGAGATGGATATGTGTTTTCTTCAACTGGAGGTTTCTCTCTTCCTGAGGCCTGGGTCACTGGGTCTAACATACCAAATCTTTGACTCGCTGACTCTGCATTTAGTATGTTTTCCTGGCTTGCTTCTAGATGTACAGAAAGAGGATCAGTAGTCTCTGAGTTTGTGCTGTCAAGTTGGTCACCCGTGCCTGTATTTGTAAAATCAAAAGGGCAAGACCAACAAGAAGATGCCGTTGAGTCACTCTGAATGTTTGGCTGTGACTCCCCTGGCACCGATGGCTGAAGCATCAGGGGTTGTGTCACTAAACAGCAGATTTCCACATCGCTGCTGACTTGCTGCATGGCTGTATTAACTGTGGATGAAAAGGAATGAGCTGTCATAGATATTTCCAGAGGGGCTGTAATGTTCTGAAACGAGAAGTTTGTTCCTGTGTGTTCCCTGATTTGACCAGAAATGTCCTGTAGAAATTCAGAGGAAAAAAGAAATTTACATTTAAAATTTTCAATCCAGAGCAATTCCACCCTTTATAAAAGTAGTGATAACTAAGTTGGCTATATCAGTAGAAAACATTTACCTCTGCTATAACTCATATCAACTGAGTAATTAAGCATCATGTCAACCTTTATTTATGTATTTATACCACTGTGATATTTTTTCATTACTACAGACCAAGCTACTCATCCCTCTTTTGATGAGAATTTTTTTTTTCTCCCAGTGTGTGTAGGTTGTGTAGCAAAGGCTTCATTTTTTCCTCAGGTTTGTTTTTTTTCTTCCTTCAGTAGGTGACAGATCATGCTAATAATTTATGGATGATAGGGGTTAGGGGTTTCAAGCTACATCCTCACATACTGTCTAGGATGATTTTGTTTTCATTAAGAGATTTTAATATACATACTGCAAGGATGTTTGTGCCATGTAGGGGGAAAAGTTTGCAATGAGTCTGTAAGAAATATTACAATGTCCAGGGCAGGAAGATATATGTAGGAAATAAAATTACTTAGTAAAAAAAACATTTTAAGGGGTAGGTTCCTAAATATGATACTGCTTATGCTATGTGAAGAACCAGTGCTTATGCCACACAACATCAGTCTGGCTCAGTAGCTTTTGTCTTTAAGTGTGGCCAGCAGAAGTCTAGGGAAAAGTGCAAGAATTGGGATAAGCACAGAACGCTCCCAGCAGCAGTGCTGACACTGCACGCAACGGCCTTTGCAGCACGTGCAGGTGCATCCAAGGCCCCTCCTAGCTAATGCAGCTATTGGTGGCATTGAAACCACAGCAGCACTGGCTTCCACAAAGGGCTAAAGAAATTCAGCTGTGCCACTGCGTACACGTTCTTCCCACCGCTCCGTGGCCATTACTACCCTCGCCACTTTTCTAGTTTCAAGCTTGCTGTCTCTGTCTCAGGAGACACTCTGCTACATCTGCTGGCACCTCCGACATCGGTGCTAACGGATCCTCTGACAGCAAGCACGAGAAATACCCTTTTCAAATGATGCAAGTTTAATTGTTCTTTTTAAAAAGCTAATTCTAACATTAGTAAGTTCTCATTATATTTTAACCCCAAAAATGCTTTTAACACATTTTTAAACAAAATCTGTGATACAAAATACTCTCAACTTGAACTTAAGATGGCTGAATATAATTCAAGCTTTGATTACCAATATCTTTTTGTCTTTTAATAAACAGTCATATATGAACTAAGGTACAATACCTACTTTTTTATCCATTGTGTCTTTTTGTTTAACATGGTTTAGATTTTCAGTATGGGAAAATATTCCTGAGTTATTCTTTCCTTCTTTTTTCCTTCTGCGAAGTGGCTTGTCTGAGGTGGAACACAATGTATCTTTTTGCGGGTGTAGGTAATTTTCTATAGAAAAGAGGTTGAAGAAATTTTTACTCTGATTTTTATTCCCCCACATGCTAGAACTTACTAAATTTTTCATCATATCACAATAGTAAAAACTTCTGTGTTTTTACTGTTTTCTGTAAATTTTTATTTTAAGCTTGATACATTTTTTCATTTACTGTATATGTGTTTGGGTTTTTATTGGCCATTACTGTCCTGCAAAATAGCAGCTATTCATATCTGCTATGAACAAAGACTAGGTATTGTCCCTGCTTCCAAGATGGTTGTGGCATAAACATCATTTGCATTAATACCACTAATTAAATGGGGGCGTGGTCACTGAAACATAGAAAGCAAGTCAACACACCAAACATATTTCACACTGCAAACACACAATCTTGTTTCAGAAACTGTTAAAGCTCCATCTTAAAACTGTTTAGGCTTCTAGTGGAAGGTTATTTTGAGTTATTTCTTTTTAAAATGCCCTCCTAATTCTCAGGTTCACATATGTAAATATGTGTATGAAAATCATTGTGTGTTCAGTTCTGAAAATGTGTGAACTGTTTGTATTTTTGCTCACAGAACAGACTGAAGGATGAAAGTGTTTTTGCAGTTCCGTGTGGAACAGCTGCATATCAGATATACTGCTAAGGTTCATTCTCTTAAAAAATAAAATTCAGTACATTAAAAAACATTCAAAATACTTACCTTGTACCTTTGATTGAGGAGAATGGCACTTCTTATACTTATTAAATTTACAGGGTTGTGATGAATAGCCCTTTTTCAAAGCATCCGGTGTTCTATTTGGAAAATAGTGTCGCTTGCTTAGTCGGTTAATTTTCACCTGAGCATATCCATGTATGGGCCTCCCTCTGTACCTGCATCACCAACGGCGTTGAAACGGTAAACAAATACATGTGAGTTAAAGCAGCCAGAGCAGAATACCACATCATCAGGTAAATTTAAGTCTAACAGCAATTTACTACTGTAAAGGAGATGTTCATTTATGTTGACTCAATAACGATTTTAGGCAACAGACCCACAACTATTTTATTAAACTTTTCCTCAGTTGGCTTCAGTAAATCCTTGGTTTTCTAAGAGAAAAGGATTCAGGAATAACAGATCCTTTTTCCTGTATCTGAAGTTTTAAAGTAACATGCTTCATAAGGACTGGTATTGCACAGGAATCGCCTGAGACTGCATACTTGTTGGCTTTTTCACTTTTCATTTCACTTCTTATGTGCTACCTATTTATCATCACTAATGAACAACATAAGTATTTCAGTTATTTAGAAAACTCATGCTGAATAATCTTACTCTGCTTGGTTTTCTAGTCTAGCTGGATCTTTCAGTAACTCTTAACAATTGAGACTAAAGAACATTGGAAGGTCGCATTCCTGTATCAATAGAATCAGTCACTATACACAGAGTAATAAGTAAATCTAAAAGAATATACTTCTTCAGGTGTTCAGTGTATTAGAAAAATATTTTACATGTCATGATTAACAGTTTGGGCAGTTAGCTAATAATGTGTATGACCTGAGCTTTCAGGACCCTGTACTTAATTGAGTCCCTGTACTTATTTGGTATAGGCAAATAAATAAATTCAGTGACCAGCATGAGGGGAAAAAAAAAATAGTCCTAGAAGAATGTCACTAGACTGGATAACATAGACCTGTGTCTTCTATTTTTGTTCTTATGATCCTTCAAAATTGCAGGGCTATTCGCCAAACTAGACACGGTGATTAAGTTACTGACGCTGATTTCTCCACAAGGGAGTCGCTCGGTCTGATTCTGGACATGAAATAAAATAAGAGGGATGTATGCAGACAATATGTGTCTCTTATTGAAGCAATTCATCAGACGTTTTGCTACCCCACACTCTTGAAAGATTAGAGGCTAAATCTTCCGCTGATACAGGCTCCCATTAAATACAGCAAAACGGTGCTGATTGATACAATGTGCCTTTGACACTTTTATACTCAAATTCATCCTGCTTTTTATTTAAACCAAATGATCCTTTAAACTTCAGATGGTTTTGTTAGTTTGTGTTAGAACTTGATATTTTTCTTCTGCATTCTCCTGTGAATACAAGCTCAGGATATGGATCTTCTGAGGACAAAAGAGTCTCCCACACTGCTTTTAGCTGTAACAGGATTAAAAACTGAAGTATTTTGATTCCCTTCAAACAAAAGTAAATGCTGGCAATTTTAACGGATAAGAATCATTTCTAAAGCATAGTGAGAGTAAACTGACCAGTCATCATTTTTCTTTGGCATATTTCTGGTTTGCTTAGACAGTCTGTTCCTGGTAGCACCCAACACACTGATATTTTTTATGGATTATTTTTGCAGAACTGCTGAAAGGTGGGAATAGCTCTTTCCCAGAGATTTGTTTTCCCCAGTTTTGACAAGGTTGAATTTGGGGGATCACTTTTTATTTCCTGCGGACTTTTTAGACTCATTTTAGCAAAATTATGTCTATATCTAGGGAAGCTGAAAACCATATGCCTTACCATTTTGGGGTGACTTTAATCTTTTTCTGTTTGTGATTCCTCTGGAGTTTATTTGTTGAGAGTTTTTCCTTTTTGCAAACTACTGTCTTCTTCTTTTGCTCTGAAATATTTTTGAAAGCACCACCAGGAGCTGCTGAGCTTAACTGTTGGGAGTATTGGAAAAAAACGAAGTACATAAAAATTGTTAATTATATTAACTTAGAGATTGGAAATCTATGCTCTTTTTAATTAGCACTGAATAGCATAGTAGTTAAATAGCACAACTCTGAATTTTTTCTAGAATTTGTGTGTTAGTTTTTGCTAATCACTTTGTCCATCTACTTTTATAAAATACAATTAAAACAACTCACTGCTTTTGTGCATCTACATAGAATTAGTGTATGTTCTTTCATATTCTTCTTCCTGTATAAAAACAAGCTTAGTCTTACAGAGCTGTGCTAGGATCTCTGTGGATAGACTAGTTATCTTCACTTACCTAAAAAAGAAAAGCTCTCAAGCCTTAAACACTTTACAGGGTAGAAATGCAGTTTGGTTTTGTTGACATTTCAGTGTATCTGAATGATGAGAGATCTAGTACATAGTCTCTTTGACTCCAAGTATCTCCAAGTGTAATAATATCTTCACATTAAGGGTCTACTTAAATCATACTCTAATTCAAATATGCATTTAAAATGAAAACAGTGAAATACATATGCTGTTACAGAAGAACATAAAATATACTCATAAGGTGAAAAATCAAGAAATAGAAATACACTCTTCTCACTAGACAGCACTCCTACTGAAATTCCCAAGTGAAAGAAAATATTCACACAAAAGTATGTGTTTTTAATGCATCAAATGAATATGTAACTTATAAAAATATAAATTGTAAATTCTGTATTGGCAAGTGCCTGTAAATGTACATAAATATACTTTTGATAATTCTTTTATTTTTCTAGTAAGAATGGAGGGGGTGTCAGCCAATTACACCCTCTTGAGAAAGGAAATAGGATTGTTAATATTACCTCCTGCATCTGTTGTCCTTTAGAAAAGGATGAAACCAATGTTTTTAAACTCCTGTTTGTTAAGCCATATGCCACAGTCCTGCTAATATTTTTCATTTTGAAAATAGAAATATCGTATTTTGACAGTGTGCATTCATTGCTAGATTCCTTGTCGCAGGTGTGCATGGAGGAATAAGCAGAGTCTGCATTCCCCTTCTGCTCAGCAGGGAGAGGAAGGCTTCTTGTTAAACAACACCAGGTCAATCGAGGTTCAGCATTTAGTGATGGGAAGGTGCTCTTCGTGCTTGACACTGTTAAACTTCCAGAGCAGCAAGTCAGATTATTGTGGGGTAGCACTGGAAATTCTTTGCAGTTGGTGGTGAGAGCGTGGCAATAAAAAGTGCCCAAAGAATGGCAAAAGTAACTGGGGTTTTCTGTTGAGCTCTGAGCATGCTGCATATCCTGCAGTGTTGGTGAAGTGTCTTTAAGAACGCATGGACTTCCACCTCTGTCCCATCCCATGACCACTGGCTCTGCAGCCTTGCTGGAAGCTGACGTGGTTATCAAAGAGTCACTTCCTGAGCAAAGATGATGTAAAACTTTCCTCTCTTCTTTGATGTCAGCTGATATGAAAAAACCACTTGCATACATAGAAGTAAAGCATATTTTCTTCTTTGGGGTCTGAGTAGAGGAAGTTGTTATGCTCATCCACTTCTCTTCTGTTTGCCTTTGATAATTTAATTTATTTTTGTTCTGTTTGTTTTTCCAAGCATCTCTTACACTATCCTGCTGCCTGATGTTTTGGTTATAAAAAGTGCTATCTGCTATGGTTAAGATATTTGTTGTTTCTGAATTGACTGGTGAACAAAATACTGGAGTTTTCCAGTTTGCATGTACGTTCCATCGTAGCTCTCCTTTGCTGGCCTTCTGTCTCACTTCAAGTTTTAAAGGAGACCAGCACAGATCATTAGAATGAGAGCTGAGTGACCCGCAGTGGGAAGAGCAGGGAGGGCTGGGTAAGGTGTCTGTCACAGATGTGCAAGGTGTGATCTTCTCTTCTGATCTAAGCAAAAGTGACAAATCTGAGGCTCTCTTGTCTTGCGGCAATTTAAGGATATATTTTGGAGAAAAGGCATTTTGTTGTGGGACCGGAGTTAAACAACCAGATTGCAGATGATGAATTTTAGAAGACACATCAACAGCATTGTCAGTGAAAAGTGGTACTTTTGCTCCTGTTTTCACAGGATGTGTTTTGACATCTTTATCTGTTGCACTGTGCAAGGCAAAAGAATTGCAATCACTTCCCCTTAATTCAGGCCCTAAAAATCCCACAAATGAAGCTTTTGAGATACCTGCTGAATGTGAAGGAAGGTTAACATCACTATAATTAAGAGCTTTTGTGGGGAATTTGATTGTTTTCATATACTCCACGTTCTCAGTACCTCCAATGGATTCATTAATTCCTGTGCTTGATTTTTGCTCCTCTGTTTTACTGGAAAATTTCACTGGTGCTGCGGAGAGACACTGAGTGCTAGTGCAACAGACACTCTCTGCTTCGTTTACTGCATTGTTGTCACTACTGGGACTAGGGCAGGGCTTTGGGATAATGTTTTGTGTCTTCTCCACTTCGAATTTCAGCTTTTTTCTTTCTGATGGCAAATTCTGGGATTTCCCTGCGGCTTCTCTGTTGCTGTTGCAATATTGCTTTTACAAGCTGATTCAAATGTACTGGATTCTTTCCCAAGGCTTGGTTTTTCCCGTTTGCTACTCTGTACTGGCAAGCACTCATCATTCCTTCTGTCAGCGTTCAGCTGACACGGAGTATTTTGAAGCCTGAGCTCACAAGCGCTTGGCACTGATAATGTGCTGTTGCCATCTGTGTATTTATCTGTGTCACTGCCACTGAGGTCTTGGGAAGTTTTGCTCGTTACGGTGTGTGCACTAGCATTTACTGAATGTGATGTCTCCATTACGTAGGTCGCACTGCCTGCAGTTTCCTCAGAGGACACGTTCTGTAGAATATGATTACTGTTAGTACAGGTTTCTGATTTACCAGTGTTTAAACCTGTTGTCACAAGGGAGGAAAGACTGTCACTTACAGAGCTCCTGCCATCTCTTTCCTCAGTAATTTCAGTACTGCTGACTGATTCCTTTGAATCGGGAGTGAAGCTTGTTATACCCGTTATCTTATTCCCTCTTTGTTTAATTTTCTTGGCATTTTGAGTGTTTTTCATTTTTTGGTAGATTTTCTTAAACGTTTCGTCTCCATACATTTGCCATTTTTCTTGAGAGAACATCTTTAACTTCTTTTGATTGTGTTTCTTATTTTTAGCACTGATTACTTCTCCAGCCCCAAGCTTTTTACTTCCTTGCAGCTCCTCGGGCGGGGGAGGGTGATCAACCACGTTACTTAGTGGCAAATCATCCACTGCCGTTTGTCTGACTAAAGCTCGGGGATGGCTGTTGGGAAAATCCAATGAATTTGCAGCAAGATTGTTGCTAGGCAGCAAACTAACAGTGCCTGTATTTACAGACTGCTTAGTAAGAGAAAGTGGTTTTGAGCAACCTGCTTTGTCATGGACCATTCTTGTGCCCTCCACAAACGGCAAAGAGTTGCTTCGTGTAACAGGCACGGTATCTATCGTTGTGGAGAACTGGGTGGGGACTGAATGAAAAAACATTGGCTTGCATTTTTCTAGGGGTGCGAAGGTAGATTTTGCTGAGCAAAGGGAAATATTCTTTTTCCTATTTACATCACAAGTTCTGATGTCAAAATGGAAAGAGTCCTTGTACGTGTAAGGCATTGGCAGATCAATGCTTCCCTGTTTAGAAAGGACAGTTTTTCTGGGCCTAACATTGTCTAACTGGGTATCATCCACCACACTTTTGTTATGAGAAATTAGTTTTGAAATGTGTTCTTCCAGCCTTTTTTTCTCTAGCATCAAGGCTGTAGCTTTCTCAGCTGCATCTAGCTTTGCACTGCTTCCGGAGGTGCACCTGAAGCTGCTGAAGGCAGTTTCATTTTCCAGCTCGGTGCTGTGTTCACAGAGACTGTGCAGCGGGCTGGATGATGCCATCTGTTGTTCTGTGCTGTCGGAGCGTGACAGATACCCTGAGTCAGTGCTCTCACACTTCTTCAGCTTGCAGTCAAAGGGCTTGTAATCCCACTGTTTCTCCGAAGAGGTTGCTTGCTGCCTTTGCAACTGAATATGCTTATTGGCAGTTGGAGTTCTCTGCTCCTGTATCTTCTTCCTCTGGTACTGACCATTTGGCAAAGCTCCTGGAGATGATAAACTTTGAGGTTCTCTTTCAGGAGCCCCCTGATTAGCCTTTGAACTAAAGGACTGATTTGTTGTTTCTTGATTTTCTGAAACAAGTGATGAATTGCTTGTTGCTGGCAGTGAAAGGTCATTAAGAAGTTTCATAGCGTCTGTTCCAGCACTGGTCTCTGAACTCATTTCTTTCGTCTGTATCCCACTGCCTGCACAGGCGCTGCCTTGGGGTGAGGGGGTGCTCTCTGCTGATTTCTCATTCTGCTCCAATATGCCACTGCTGTCAGAGTCTGAGGGCAGTCTGGTGTTGTTGACATGTGTTTGAGTTCTTCTGTGTTTGTACAAATTGCTTTGAGTTTTAAATGCAATCCCACAAGTGGTGCATGGAAAGGGCCTCTCTCCTGTGTGAGAGCGGATATGTTTCTCAAGGACACTTGGCTTCAAGCAATCTCGTCCACAGTGTTTGCAGATGTATTTCCCAGCATTTTTTGATTTTCCTGGGCTTCCCATAGATGCATTTACACAAGAATTTGGTGATGATAAAATTGGTAAAGTGCTCACTATGTTCAATGTTAGAGTTTGCCCAAGTTGTTTCTGAAAAACTGACCGAGGCTGATCAGTGCCTTCTGAAGAAACAAGTGGGTTCAGGATCAGAGGTATGTTACTGCTGTCCAGATTTACACAGCTCCTGCCCGTCACCAGCTGACTGCTTGGCTGAAAGCATCCTGCCTGGACGGGCTGGTACAGAGGAATGGTCAGGGCTTTCAGATACACGGGCTGGGACAGTGCTTGCTCGTGCTGAGGAATCGCACTGCCTTGGCTAAACCAGGCTGCTTCTGTGCCTCCATTTCAAAGGTTATCTGCCATACGCTCATGTATCTGTAAGGGAGGGGAAACAAAACAGGTAGGAATCTTCAGATAGCAAAATAAAATAAACATTTTCAACTGCTGGACTGGGGAAGTCAGCAATTAATAATATCACAAATTTTATATACAGGCATTATTCAGACAATAATTACTTAATTTTCCAATTAAATTTATTCATCTTTCATTTCTTAGCTAGGAATGAAAGTTCAGTACGGTGTAGAGAACATTGAACATTGCACTTTAAACCTACAGTAAGTACCCAAAGTATTAGAAATTTATGTGACTATCAGATTCGCAAATGGAGGCTCTCAGCACCCCAGAATAATGTAATTTTAATTTTCTGGAACCATATTCCTATTACATATTTGTACCCTGTTTTTTAATTTAAGAATTTACATTAATAAATGTAACTATAGAAACACAGACCAATGAAGGTTAGAAGGGACTTCAGGAGGGCTCTAGTCCAAACACCTGCTCACAGCAGAGCTAGCACTGAGGTCAGATGAGGTTGCTCAGGGTGTTTTCCAGTCTGGTTTTGAAAACGTTTGAGGTGAAAACTGCACAGCTTCTTTGGGCAACTTGTTCCAAACAAAGGACGTGAAACACGGCTGCATATTCTATGTGTTTACCCAGTTTAAGGGAGCTGAGGCTAAACACATTGCAACAAGTGATGCAAAATGAAAATATGTGATCAAAATGAAACTGATGTCCTGTTTTACAAGTGAGATTTACATAAATATGTACGAAGTAGAAAAGAAGGTATCATAGGAAAATAGTGGGAAAAATTAAAGCTGTCTTTTGTGTAGCCCAACTTAATTTTGTCTACTTAAAGGCTACATTATGGTATACTGCTTATTTTTAGATGCTTTCAATGCCAGATGAAAACATTTTGTAGACACAGTTTTTTGGAAAAAGTGAACCTATTCTTATGAAATCTGTCCAAATGTATTCTGGGTTGGTGCTGGTCCAGACCACTTCTTATTTTAACAAAGAATTGTCTTGTCTTTTTTCTTTCTTAGAAACAAACTAGGAAACTATCAAAATAAGTTAGTTGAAAATTGTTTTTGGAAGAGCTGATAGAGATATCAGCATAACCTCTTGTAATTATAGTTTGGGTGAAAATTAGCAGGTAATCCGTGAATGTTTATTCAACTTCTCATTCAGCTATACTTGTAGCTCTGTATCCACTGGTTGTTTTGAATAATAGGCTGTTCTTGTGCAAACAGTCATAAAATCCCCATTTGAAACAACATAATCAGTGGCTTAATGTGAAATCTGCAATTTGTTGCCTTATTGCATAATCTGTAGTGGTGTTTCTGTACCTTCCTTGGATCAGTTTAATAGGTAATCACTACTGGGAAACAGTAAAAAGAATTGCTCAAAAATGTTGTTTGAAATTTGGACTGGTTCCATATGACACACACACTATGTTACTGTTATTCAAAGTAAAATCTCTGTTGCATGTAGTTACTGACAATTTTGCAAATAATTCACATAAAGGAGAAATGGCAAGCTCAATGTAATTGGTTTTGAGTGTACCTTAATTACAGTTAGAACAGTTAATAAAGCTGCTAAATTGATATAAAGTTGGATGGAGATCCAAGAGTTCTGTTACTTCACAACTGGAAATGATAGTGTCTCACTAATGTCACATGAAAAAATGGCAAAATAACTTTCTGTTAATGATCAAATGGAACAGGTTATGGTCAATGAGTTATGTGCTCCGTAATAGATGTAATTAGCATCTTAATAAATAGACTAGGAATTCAGGTAGTTTTCATAGTAAATGTATGCACCATTGAAACTGAAAGATAAAGCAACCCTCTTGGTTATCAGTCTTCTGCAAAGGAAAAGGTTTTGCATGGTGGGATATTGCCTTTAATCCCAGTGATTATTTCAGCCCTATGTGTAGCTCACAATGCAACGGTAAATACTTGTCTCCTTGGAGCAGCAGAAAACAAATATACCAAGACCCAGTACCAGAGTAATCTCTGCGCTCCTCACTCTGCACCACTTCTGGAAGTTCTGCTGCTGCCTGGCAACTTTTGTTTCACAGCCAAGGCTTATTCCAGTTTCTTTCTGATCTGCTTCACTTTTTACAAGAATTGGGAAAGTGGAGGAAAAAACAGCACTGCAGTCCCTGGGATGTGTGCTCTGACTTTCCTTCTGGTCACCAGCAAGGCCATGAGCTTCTCTGGGTGCATTAAGTGTGTTACAAACCAGCTGAGGAGCCACCGAAGGAACTGGGAAGCTTGCTGCCAACTGCAGTGGGCTCAGGGTTAGACCCCTTATGGGGAAGGTATCAGTGACTGATGGGACTCTTTCTCTTCACCCAAAGATTTTAGTGCAATAAAAATCCCAGAACACAGCCTGCAAAATGAACTGATCTGCGCACAGAAATTTGTTAGATTTTGCCTTTTCTCCTTTCTCATGAATTATATAAATCAAACTCAGTTAGCAAGCATGGACTTTTCTTGTCCACTTTAGAGATTTCTACATGGAACAATCACTTAAGTGGCTTTGTAGTACAGGTATTGACTGTATTGATAGAAGAAAGTTAAAAGAATATGGCTTGTTAAAGGAATTAAGTTACCTATATTCTGCAGTGTGGTTAACACTACAGGATAAAAGTGAATTTCTCTAATTTGCAAAGTGAGGTTATGGACATTTCAAGTCCATTTAAGATGGTGTTAAGCTATACAGTCACCTTTATTATAAATAAATTGTAAACACTTTTTAAACACAGCATACGATAAAATCTCCTTCCCCTGGAGAGAAGTGTGGAAATGCAGAATTTACATTTCCACCCCGATAAGCCTGCTTCTGTGTCACAAACGATGTTCTGTCTCTGAATATCCTCACGCACATGCATAGCTGATGGGCCCTTCAAGGCCAGCCTATAACCTAGTAGGACTTGAGGTGGACCAGATGTTTTTAATATGAATCCTGTAGTTCCAAAGTACCAGACTCTCTGTGCAATTTTGCTTATTCTAAGTTTCTGGGGCCCAAAACACAGTCTAATTCTGAGCATCATTTCAGTGCCCGGTAATGTTCTACAAAGAAAATACTAAATTATTACAGAAAATTTAAAGGCAAGTTTTAACTAATACTAAACAATTAAACTAAATGGTGATACATAATCTCATTACTTTTCATAGCTTAGTAATACATTTCTACCAGCTGTGGTCGTTTGCTGCTTTTCACAGCAAACAAAAGATACTTTCTTCCTAAGTGAAACTTTTGTGGCTGGTGTTCTACTGTGGCAAACACAATCATACTTTTCACATCTGTCATTTATATACAAAAAAGCCACTGTATTTCCTTGTACATTGACAAAAATACCTTATCTCAAACTAATTCTACCCCAAGGCTAATTCTGGGTCATCCTTGCCTGAAGTAGAAAAACTTCCTTTGCTAGTTATCCACCACGCTCTGTTACTGAGCATCTACCTGATTTTCTGAGCCCAGCCTGTAACTTGTGTAACAACTTGATCCTAATTAGATAAGGAAAAATTTCCAATAAGCAAAACTAAAAGCAAGACTTGGCCTGTCCAAAATTTTCTAAATTAGTTTCTTAAACTATTGAAACTGGTCCGTAAAATTCCCTTTAAATACAGTTATTTGGTTCCTAGTTTGAAATATACCTCCAGGGACACACCACAGATAGGTCTGTGGGACACTGAAAATTCAACAAGTGGAGTAGTTTCAGACAACAAATCAGCATAGCAGAAACTGTTGTATTCTGTATATAAGAATAAAGTATTTTAATAAGGGATGGTGGTAGCATAAAAACTCCTTTTAAATCCAATGTGTTCCTATTTTCTATATAATTTTTTCCTTAATTCCAAATATATTTTATAAAATTTGCTTCATTTTATCAGCACTTCTATAATAATCTCGGATTATACTACCAAAATATTTTTGTCTTCTGCATGGCACACATAAATGCACTGTCAACTGCCCATCATTACTAATAAAACCATTAAATAAACAGGTAACTACTTGTTTCCTGCAAACAAGTATTCCTTACATATAATCTTTTGACATACCATTGAGAGGAGCATCATAGTCTTTAAGCAGATGCAGTGCTCAGTCCCCTGGCTTGGTCTACAGGTATAATCTGTAGACAGGATAGTTTATTTCTGTAAGCACACAGAAGCAGCTTTTCAACATCCTGAACACACACAATATACTACATTATACTAGAAGTCTGTGCTCTTTTTTAAAGCTTTTGGTGATCCCTACCTTAAATATAATACCAGAGAGCATATAGCAGTGGAATCCTCTTTAGTCTGTAAATAATTTTAGCTTACATACCTTTTATTGAGGCAGGCATTTCAGCAAAAGAAGTCTCATTTCTGTCAATACTTGATGCAAGCAGAGAGCAACAAGGACAAAGACTTGAAATGGATTAGAAGTAGGAAGTTGATTTTTTCTTTTTTTTTTACGTTGGTGTCACAGTAACAACCTTCAGCAAACAGGAAGAGATGAAACAGGAGAAAATGAAGTAGCATTTCAATCTCTTCGTATGCTTTGTATTATTCACATAGGAACCTATAAACAGAATCAGCTCGCTTAGAAATGTAGGCATTTTGTATGCTGCATTCAGTTGTATCATTCAGTGAAACACACTGGCACAATGGTAGAATTTTTTCTTTAGATCCCCAGAGGTAATTTGCTTATAACTTTACAGTAAAGATCTCTCTTAAAATGTGTGGGGAAAGACAAGAATATTGGAGAGCAGACACTTGCTCCATGTGAGATGCTGAACGCATCCAGCGTGGGCATTATCCACCAGCTGCTCCTAATGGTGCCCTGCGGCAGGGCAGACAGCGGTAACCAGGAGGGAAAAGACCTCAAGAATGTTAAAAGTGTTTAGGTCATGCTCAGCAAACCTCCCTAAAATTTGTGAATAGCTGCAGGGAAAACAGGATAGGGGACAGTCAAGAGAAGTGAAAAGATCACGTTAAGAGTT